TTACCTTTGTGGGATTCGAATTCCTAACAAAATCTTGGACAGAAGCATGATGTGGGAAAACTGGACAACTTCAGTGAATTTGTTCTTATAAGCTTCTCTACCCTGTCCTCTGAGCTACAAGCTCTCCTGTTTCTCCTATTTTTGACCATTTACTTGGTTACACTAATGGGAAATGTCCTCATCATCATGGTCACTACACCTGATTCTGCTCTGCAAAATCCTATGTGCTTCTTTCTCAGAAATCTGTCCTTCCTGGAGATAGGTTTCAATTTGGTCATTATTCCCAAGATGCTGGCGACCTGATCAGTCAAGACACAACCATTTCCTTCCTTGGCTGTGCCACTCAGATGTATTTTTTTTTTTTCTTCTTTGGGGCTGCTGAGTGCTGCCTCCTGACCACCAGGTCATATGACCTTTATGTGGCCATCTGTAATCCCTTGCACTACCCAGTTATCATGGGCCTCAGGTCCTGTACCCAACTGGCAGCTGCATCTTGGTTCTCAGGGTTTCCAGTAGCCACTGTGCAAACCTCATGGATTTTTAGTTTTCCTTTTTGCGGTCCCAACAAGGTGAACCACTTCTTCTGTGACAGCCCACCTGTCATTGCACTGGTCTGTGCTGATACCTCTTTGTTCGAACTGGAGGCCCTGACAGCAACTGTCCTATTTATTCTGTTCCCATTCTTACTGATCCTGCGGTCCTACGTCCGCATCCTCTCCAACATCTTCAAGATGCCATCAGCTGAGGGAAAACACAAGGCCTTCTCCACCTGCTCCTCCCACCTCCTTGTTGTTTCCCTCTTCTACAGCACAGCCATTCTCACATATTTCCGACCCCGCTCTAGCACCTCTCCTGAGTACAAGAAGCTGCTATCACTGTCCTATACAGTGGTGACTCCCATGCTGAATCCCATCATCTACAGGTTAAGAAACAATGAAGTGAAGGCTGCCCTAAGGCGGGTCATCCACAGAGCTATGGGCCTTCAGAAGCTATGACTAGCTTGGAAACTGAAGGGGTAAAAAGAAGGATAAAGGGAAGAAAATAAAATTCTCAAAAACAGTGTATAGCAGGCTCTTATTCTGTGAGACTGTGGTGCCAGGATCTCTAAGGATGCTGCTGGTTTACATAAATTAAGATCCTCTGAAAATTAAAAAGTCCACTACAATCCACTCTGCTGTTTTAACTTTGAACTTCTTTACCAATTTCATTTTATAATTTTCTGCTTTAATTTCTTCTATTTATCCAAAATCCTAGCTGAATATTTTTATGGTATATTTATGTGTAAAGTAATTAAAATAATTTTACTATTGACAATGAGTACTTTTACATTCTTTTACTCATTTTTATAAACAAATTTTTATTATGCCATCTGCATATTTCAGGCCCAGGCTGTGCCCTAACAACACTGTGGTAAACAAAACAAATATCTGGCCTCATAGAATTTAGACTCTAGTAAGACAGACAATGAAATATTCTTCACACCTTCAAGGTCTTGTAATGTGCATGTGTTCAGAGGAGTAGCAATTGAGTGCTGCCTGTCCTTCCATAGTTGTTCGGAGCCTCCCTGGGAGAAAGGCTACTCCACACTGACAACTGCCTAAATCTCAAATTATTCACATGGGTTATGAAAGCTGCTTGACAGGAATGTTATAAAGAACTCTCCAGTCAAGTATAAATAAATTAATTATGGGAATCCTCTGTAAACAACTCAAAGATGCTTTGTTTGTTCAACATTTTCTTCAATATTGGAACTGGATCAAATCAACTGTTCCTTTCAAGCTTGAATATCATTCAACCAACAGACTCTGATTTTCCTCAGTGAACATAATATCACTCTTAACAAATAGCAACCTTGGGTAGAGGCAGTAAAACTTGGTGTAATTCCCAATACCTCACATATAATTAAAGAGTACAACAATATTTACTGCATAAGTATGTCATTTCCACCAACTCTATTTAAAAAATACCCTATTCTGGTAAATGGGTAAATAAATTGAGATAGAGAGCTACAATGGACTATTGCTCAACAATAAAAAGAGACAATTAATGAATATAAGATGTACCCACAAAAGCATCATGTTATATAAAAGTCAGACTTAAAAATATACTGTTGTGGAGGGTAGGGATTTACTTTAGTGCCATATATATATATATATATATATATATATATACATATATATATATGGTTGGAATACGTGTACATACAATTTTAGAAAAGGAAAATATATGGTAATAGCAGATCAAATGATTGCTAGAGAGTAGGAGGAAAATGAATACATTGACTAAAGGGAACCATAGACTTTTCATGGCAATGAAAATCTTTTATATCATATTTAGTGGTGGTTAAACTATTGTTTACAATTGTTAAAACTGAACTTTAACGTGAACATAATTTACTAAATGAAACAGTTGGATCCTGTTGGTATGTTGATTACACTGGCCCACATCTATCACTTAGAATTCAGTATTTTGTCCTCATAGAAACAGTCATAGTGTTTTTCCTTTCCTTATGGTGAAATAAAGTGCAATAGACTCAAGTCCATTGAATTTATGTCACCATTCAAGTACAGTAAGCAGAAGCATTTTACTTGGTAGAACTGCAAATTTGACCTTCTAAAGTCGCAGTTACCACACCAGCTAAGAAGTGCTATCTTATACAATGAAGTATATGCTTTTTTAAGTAGTTGTCAATATATGGTGCTGTTTCTACAACTGGTAGAATTCAAAGATTATTAAATCTAAGGATAAAATTGGACTTGCTCCTTAGATTATTGAGCAAGTAACCCTTTGCAGATTTTTTTGCTACCCATCTCTACATTTTTAGGTTTGTCTCCATTAAGATTCCTACTATCCCCAAAATAAACATCTTCACCAGAGTCTTGAATCACTGAGAACCTTAATGAATTAGAAACAGGTTCTCACTGGTATTGTGGTCCTTTTATCATGGAACTGATAAGCAGGCATAGATAAAATCACTGTTGCCTGAAGTGACTGATTTTATTTGTAAACACAAATTTGGTTGCCGAAAGATACTGGTGGTATAGATGATTGATTTGGGGACCCAACTGAGTCACTGGGATATCTCACCATACTTCTGCAGTCAAAAAGAAACTGCAGAATTCCAATAAAAAGAGATTATCAAGAGCTCAAATTTTAAGGAAAAAAGTTTTAAATCACCATATGAGATAAACACTAGAAAATGCAGAGTAAGACAGAAAATAAATTCATGGAAGATAGTGAAAGAAAAGTTATAATTATCAGTTTAGGTCTAGTAATCAGTATCAGAAATTATAGCAGGTATGTTTCCTATTAATTATTTGCTTTTTTCACCCTTTTTCTTCCCAGTTTCCTAGTATAAGTCATCCCGGTGAAGCTATATTTTAGGTATGAAGAGGTGTGACTCACTGCTACAATACACTTGCTGATGTAACTGTGTGTGCTCCCTGTAGTAGGAGCATGAATTAACCCCTGGACAAAGAGCAAGTAGATGCTGAGGGCCAAAGAACAATCCCTTGCTCTTCATCTCCAGCTTCCTTTGACATATTCGTAGTCTGTCCTTTTTTACCTTGCTATGTTCTTCAGGATGTTTGTTGCCTTTTTTTTTAATTTTATTTAAGAGGAAAAAGAGAAAAACACAAAACAAAACAAAGCGGTGTAAGGATACACGTAATACAGAACTACAAAAAAAAAAAAAAAAAAACATAACAGCAAGAAATCACCTGTTAATAAATTACATATTATCATCTTGAAAATAGTTGCTCAAATCACAGTATCAAAGAATACAAGGTGGACATTTAAACAGGGAGACTGCAAACAGCTGTGTTCAATGATCCAAAAACATTGGAAACAACCCAAGTGTCCATCAACTGAGGAATGGATAAAAAAGTTGTGGTAGTTCTATACAATGGAGTATTATTCAGCTATAAAGAAGGATCACATTGAGATATTTATCAATAAATGGGCGCAGCTTGAGACCATACTCATAAGTGAAATAAATCAATCTCGCATGTGTGAATACAGAATAGTTTCCCTAATGTAAGTAATGATTCAAATATATAAAAATATGTTTGTTGCCTTTTATTGTACTCTGACTTGTAATTGTAATACAACAGCGAGGCTCAGAAGGAAAGTGGAAATTAAGCTTGAAGTCGTTCTCCCCAGGGCTTGCTCACCTACATCTAACCTAGTCCACAGCACTTGCCTGGTGTACTTTGCATACAGTTACTCTCTCTAGGTCCTAGCTCTCTCTTCTTGGACCTTCGGGTTTAGATTTGATTACAGGTTCTCACTTTAGCCAGCCCTGTGATATGCAATTATTTCTTGTTGATTTACAAAACTATATATTCACACTTATGAATGTGCATCCTCATAGGCAAGATCCTAATATATCTGAAAGTACAGTGATATGGACAGAAGAGCTGTCAGGTCCATTATATTTGTGATCTTCATTACCCACCTCTAATACACATACAAGTACACTTGCATGCACATACAAATAGGATTTATGGCAAAAAGTGAATGCTTTTTAAATTTTTATTATTTAATGTTTTTTAGAAATGTGAGGGCCAGGGATTTAGCTCAGTCCTGTAAGTGCCTGCCTGGCAAGTGCAAGTTTGTGAGTTCGATCCTCTGTACTAAAAAAAAGGCAAGTTAAAAAAATTTTTGAAAATACTAAAATACTTGGTGTAAGATCTTGGATAGATGAATATATATGTATAAATTACATATAAAAGAGAATTTTTATTACAAGGTCTATAAAATATGAATGTTTCTCAGGGAATTTCCTGAATCTTGAATGTCAAAGAATAAAACAGAAGAAAAGAGATCCTCTGTACCGTTGGTCCTTGAATTGTCATGCTTCCTCCACAAAGAAAGTGCTAAAGAATAAAGAGTGGGCTCATATACAAGGCTCAAGGAAGAGAATCTTACCACATACAGTTCCTCAAGGAAGCAGACTACCCAGCAAGTTTAACATGTAAGAAGTCAGAAAGGTCTCTGAGTCAGTGGATGTCCTCAAGCCTATTTGGGAAATTCCTTGCAGCTACTTTCCTCAGTGCTCCCTTCACATCCTTGTTTCTCAGGCTGTAGATTAAGGGATTAAGCATGGGGGTTACCACTGCATAAAAAACAGACACTAGTTTCTTTTGCTGTTTAGAAGATTTGGGTGTCATGTAGGTAATGATTCCTGATCCATAAAAAAGGATGACAACCATAAGGTGGGAACCACAGGTAGAAAGTGCCTTGAGTCTTCCCGCAGCTGACTTGATCTTGACCACAGTCACTATGATGTAACTGTAGGATCCAAGAATTAGGGAAACAGGTATAAGAAGAATCACAACCCCCATGAGGAAAATGGCCATCTCTGAAGTGCGAGTGTCAGTGGATGCCAGAATCAACAATGCAGGGGCCTCACAAAAGAAATGAGCAATCCTGTTGCTGCCTTGGTAGGTCAGCCTTAGGGTGAAAGTGGTATCCACCACAGACACAAAAATGCCGCTGGTCCATGATCCTGTGGCCAACTGGATACACACCCTCCGGGTCATGATGCTATAGTAGTGCAAAGGGTTGCAGATTGCCACATACCGATCATAGGACATCACTGCCAAAAGGACACACTGTGTACAACCAAAAATGAGGAAAAGAAAAAGTTGAGCTGCACATTGTGTGAATGAAATCACCTTCTTTCTGGAAAGTAGGTGGACTAGGGCCTGAGGAACTATGTTTGTAGAGAAACAGAGGTCAGCCACAGACAAGTTGCAGAGGAAAAAGTACATGGGCGTATGAAGCTGGGAGTCAGCCTGAACAAGGGACACAAGAAGCAGATTTCCAAGCACTGTGACCAGGTAGACACCCAGCAATAAGGTGAATAGCAACTGTTGGGTGTTGGGGTCATCAGAGAGTCCCAGAAGAAAGAATTCTGCCACTTGTGTCTGATTTGTCTGTCTCATAGTTTTTCTCCCTTTTCAGCAAGAAGTCACCATATGTAAACATAAGGGGTCATAACCTATAAAATTATCTAATTCAGAGTCAGAGGGTTTACATATAGCCCCAATTGCTACAACATTTCAACAAATTCCCTTTATAATTCCTTTAGAGGATGATCAGGCAGCTTAAATTGGGAGCATTCTCAGTGTTGCACAGTAGTACTGTATAATATGTTATATTCCCTATTTGTATACCCTGGAAAGTGTAGAATAGATCAAAAATGAACCATCCTCCTTTTTTCAATTACCACAGTTTCAAAAATAGGGCAATGAATGAAGATCAGAGGTATCCATAAAGTCATGCCGAGCAATTGCAGCTTATCATCAATTCAGTCCTCTGTGTCTTTTGGTGCTCTTGCCACATCTCCATCTCATGACTGTGCTAATATATTAAAAAATATTTTAGCCATGCAGCTGATCTTGTCTCTTCCCTAAAAAGACAGTCAGGAAGATATAAGAATTCAAAGAGAGCCAAAATACTCCGTACAACCAAAATGCCTCTTAGAGAACATAGCCTATCCTAAAGGAATTGGGGAGCTAAACAAGAATTCTGAATACACTTGACATCTTATCTGCAGCTTCCACTGGAGCTCTGTGAAGCAAATCTCAACTGTGAATAAAATTCTAAAAGAGTAGACCAACTAGTAAACAATAATTTTCATTTGTCATCAACTTGGCTGATGTCTGGCTCTGCTTTAACAGTACTAGTACCCCCCATCTAGCCCATCATCATCTATTATTACCTTGTGTTATCATTGTTTATCCCTCCCCCCAAACTTAAAAACGCCTTTAAAACAGTGTAAGCTTTTACTGTGTACTTGTAAGACATAGTAGACCACCTCATTCAGTGATTACAGTTTCAATAAAAATGTAAAAATAGTAGAGATGTATAGAATGCCTGCATTGTCAATAAAGAGATCGGAGCTGGGGATTTAGGTTAGCGGCATAAGCACCTGCAGCATAAGCACCTGCCTTGAAAGCAGGCAGTTGTGAGTTCGATCCGCAGTACCGATAAAAAAAATTTATATAGCTGTTACAAAATTTTATATAGCTGTTACAAAAGTAAAGGATAGTTAAAATGTGAAGTTTACACTTCTATGCAAAGGGTGGATTATCAACTATTTATCTGATAATTGTTAATGTTTCAAGTTTTAAATGTATCAATGATTACCAAGGAAAATAGTTACATCAAATATAATTATCAGTATAGTTTTAGAAAACAAGTGTGTAAGCTACAATATATATGCTTTAATAAAACATAATAATAAAGACTATGTGTCTTCATTAACATTTTTGGGGCAGTAATGGGGATTGAACTTGGGATCTTTTAATAAGATACATTCTCAGTATTTTTAAGTTTTTAAAGTTTTTTTTTTTTTTTGTCTTTCTCCTTTTTATCGGTATCGCAGATCAAACTCAGGACTGCTTGCTTGTAAGGCAGGCGTTTATGCCACTGAGCTAAATCCCCAGCCCCAGTTTTTAAAGTTTTGAGACACGGTCTCACTAAGCTGGTAAAACAAACTTGCAATCCTCCTGCCTCAGCCATACAGAATGACATTAAAAGTAGGGGGTCCAACAACCACTTTCATTTCAAAATAATTATGACCTTAAATATTGCAGATATCCAACACCTACAGTGTGATATATAAATACTTAGGATTTCTGTTGCTGACAAAGTCATACATACTTCCAACGCAGGTACTAGTGATTACCTGAAGTAGAAACAAATGCCAATTTCATTTAGAGGAAAGTTAAGATGCAGAGGTAGCATACAAATTGAAGAACACCTTGAAATCCTGGCTAAGAAACTCCTAGGCTATAGGAATTTTGCAAAGGAAAGAGAGAGAGAGGAAGGAGGGAGAAAGAGAGAGAGGGAAGAAAGGAAGAAAGAAAGAAAAAGAAAAGATCAAGAGGCAGTATTACACCCTACATAACCGATTAACAAAGCCTGAAAATCTAGATGGAGCTGTAAGTTAAATTGATGAAAAACTACTCATTTAGTCTTAAAGTTAGGATGCGGCATCAGAAGAAGGTCCTACTCTTCTCTGTTTAACTGCTTGTTCGTTTTGTAAGCAGAAGGTTTAAAGCAAACAGTAAAGTCCAAACCAGATGTCACTTATTTGAAAGAAGCCCAGTTTATAACAAGCCACCCACTCTCCTTTTTTCATTCTCGGGAATTTCTCCTTCAATATCTTTCATTATTCTCCAGTTTAATCCCAACTCACAGACATAGACACAATCACCCTCACCACAAATATCTAGTCTATCACAGATATGCAAGTGTGTTTACAGTCTCATTACTTACCTCTACAGCGGTTCTCAGCAAATATTTCTCTGAGACCAAAAAATGTTTAACAGTAGGGACAACATCTGTAAAACTTTTATTCCCAGCTAATGAGATCAGTCATGGTACATAACTGTCTAGCATGGTTTTCTCAATTGATTTGAACCAAGTCAAAGTAGCAAAAGACAGAGAGGTGAGTGAATCTGTGTTACTGATTTGTGACTTGTCAGGTGATGTGGCCTCTTAATGAATAGCACTGCATCAGAAGGCAGTATCCCTCACTTCCCTGATTGTCATTAATGTTGGGAGCCGTGGCACTGTCAAGTCATCAGACGCGGTGATTGCGAGGCCTGTGGGAAAGTACAAAAGCCTGAGCTGGATTACCCCTCTCATCGAGCCCGCCTGTGTGGCACCTGTTTCTTATCACCCCACTAAGTTCCCGCCTCACAGGGTAGTCTGCCTAGCTATTAATCCTATATATAGCCAGTGCCTCCACCCCCGAGAGAGAGAGAGAGAGAGAGAGAGAGAGAGAGAGAGAGAGAGAGAGAGAAGCACAAAAGGAGCCGCGGGGAGCGGACCGGTAGAGGCTTCGGGGCAGACTGAAGCACGGAAGGAGCCGCGGAGAGCAGACCGGTAGAGGCTTCGGGGCAGACTGTATAAGGAGAGAATAAAGAAAAGCCTGACCACCGCCAGACCTTGTCGTGTGTCTTTCCTGCCGGCCGGGAGCGGACATCGACACATTAAGAATGTTATTCTCCCGTGAAAATGTAGAAGAGAAATTGTTTCCTCAGATGACTGAGAATCTATCTTCAAGGTCAAGAAGAATCTGAAAGCAAAATCATTCTCAGTGTCAACCTTCTGCCACTTAATTTTACCTTTTCTGTGGATTAACAGGAACTGTGACTTCATTTCCCTAAAACTAAAATATGTTATTGGATGTGAAGGAGGATTGAAAAGATCAAAGAAATATTCAATGTCTAATTTACACTCATTTTAGAAAGAAGGGATTGAATAAGCCCATAAGGAAACAACAGAAGAACACATAATTTCTCTTTTGATTCTAAGATCCTTTGCACTTAAAATCACTTATTCTTTATCCTCCAAGCCCAGCTCAACAGAGAAATTAACTAAAACCCAATCTATGGAAGTTCTGTCTGTCTCTACATAAGATGAGGACCAGGATTATTTTTCACTAAGAATTTTATATTGCAATTATGATTTGATAAGGTATGTAAAAATGGACCATTACCAAAAATGACCAGATCTATTACAGAATGTTTAGCATCATTAAGTAAGTTATTTTGATAAAATTAGATTAATTTTAAAAATCAATGCAGGTGAAACAAGTTCACTTCCAGTACATGGTCAATTGTATCTTCATGGCTACATTATGGTTTTTCTTCCCTTCCCTCCCCTCTAGTGATCTTACCAAATTTTCTTATCTGGAGAAGAAATAGATCAAATTAGCATGCCAAAGCCAATAAAGGCATGCCACCATGGAGGGAGAAAGTGCTGAAGTACACAGGATGCAACGTGGGAAAGTGGAGATGACCAGCATCTTGTCCTAAAAGCAGAGCTCAGTAAATTCTAATCATCACTAAGGACAAGGGAGGAAGGGGAACCCCCACATTTCCCACATCCTCTGCTCCATTCAAAGTTCTTACCATTGACTTCATGATAAAATGTACATTAATATTTCTATTTAAAGGAGGCAAAGCTGTGAAGAGGGGATTCTAGAAGCAGTCTCTGGAGCAGCTAAAGAACTCAAGAGAATTCTGAATCATTAGTTTGTATACTGAGCTATAATTCCTCTCAGAAGACTCCCAGATGGTAATAAGGAGGACAGAAGGGCAGAAGGGGGAACATTGTACTGTTGCAATTAAGCATTTGGTTTCTGGAAGAAAAAAACCCACTAACTTGAAACTCAGACTTACCATATTTTCTGTATAATTAAAGAAAGTTCATCATTTGCAGAATTAGATGGTGATATACTCCAAGTAATAATAATTGGATTAATGTGACAACAAGACATTTGCCTGTGGCACGACCTTAAGCTATTATATTAATATATAATTATAATACACAATTATTGTTGTCATCAAGGCAGGGGATCAGCATTATGAGTAAATATCTGAGTTTTGACAGATATTATTGGTTTGACATTGTTCAGGAAATTTGTTACATATTTTCAGACTCCTAAACAACCCAAATGAGATGGTTAAAAAAAAAATACCAACACAAATCAATTGAAAAACAAGCTAAGCAGAATTCTTAATGTTGGGCTGAGTGTAGATAACAGTGGCACAAGCCAGACTCTGAAAACTTGAGACTCTGGCAGAACTCCTACTTTTGTACTTGCAGCTTCTGAAGCACCAGTCTAGGAGAAAGAGCCAATGTAGCATAAATCACGGCTCACAAACCTGAATGGGCAGACTAGTGTATTAGGTCAGTTTAGTTCATTGTGTGGCCGCAATCTATCTTCTTTATGATTTTGCCATCAATTTGTTTTAAAATTACCAAAAGAAAGTAATTCAAATTAACATGAAAATCTATGCCTAATAAACTGTTATTTTGTAATTTCATACATTGAAAAAAATTCAGATTTTTAAAGCAGTTAAAAGAACACTATGAAGAACTCTCACACTTCCCTTTCCCAGATTTTCCAATTATTAACATTTTA